CTTGGACACCCACGGTCCACCAAACTCTACGTGTAACCAAAACTCACTCACCCTCTTTGCCCTGACCTGCTTCTCCCTTGAGTTCTCGAGACTGACAGGGCCACCTCCGCCCCAGCGCCCAAGCCAAAACCCAGACCGCGCCTTACTCGTTCCTCCTTGCTTCCCGCCCAGGTCCTGGAGTTACACTTCCTCATCGGCTCTGGAATAGGTCCCCTTCTTTCCCAGCCCACTGCCACTGCTGGATTCAGATGCTGCAGGCTGTCATCGGGCCACTGCGCCAGCCTCTGACCATCTTCCACCGACCACGGTGGCTTTGACGAATGCTGTCCCCTCTGCCAGTGCTGGCATTCCCTACGTTCCTCCTCCCCACCCTGCCCTCGCCCCCGCTTCCTCCCCACTCTTCAGAACAGGAGGCCCAAGCCCCGCCCCCAGCCGCCACCCTGCCCTCCTAGGCTGCTCTGGCAGCACCTTCCCTGACCCCGTGCAACCTCTGCAGATGCTCATCACGCTTACCCCAAAGCATCCATCAGTGCCACTGTCGGGCTGGCTCACTAAAATCCGGGCAGCTTTACTGCAGACACCTCTGGCCACCGGATATCGCACAGCCAGCAACCACTGCCGGCCCGGTGTACAAACGGCAGGTGCTCCAGCAACACTGTGGTCATTTAACAGGTGCCCCACAGCGAGGGTTCAAACACACGCCCATCTACTCCCCTCAGCCCCTCAGCAGGCGTGCGCATGCACCCCTAACTCGGATGAGCTTCTTTGACCTTGCAAAGGAAAATGAAGCCTATCGGATGCAAAATCTCTCAAGTAAGATCCTTTCAGCTTAAAATCTCCCTGCTCTTTTCTCATCCTCCCCTTGTCCTGGGAGTTTTACCCTCGAATTCCCCACATCGCTGCAGAGTCCTCGCATATGCCATAACATCCAAACAGGGCAGGCTGATGGCCACAGGCAGAGGAAGAGCTGACCGTACATGCAATCGTACGTGTGTAGAAATCAGTGCGCAGGTGTGCATTTATAATTAATACTGCACTAATATTGTAAAGTATTCTGAATTGCCCAAGAACTAATTAAATCTCAGAACACCCCAGGAAATCAAGTGTTATCAGCCACATTAACATAAGGCCCAGAACAGCAGTCAGAACAGCAGACTGACGAGGGATTATATTCTGGGACTCGCCATCGATTCGTCCCACACTGATAATATAGCAGTTTCAGAAACGTATTAGCCCGCGGTAATTCTGACCTGCGGAGCACACGCCCTTCTCGGCCCTCCCTCTTCCCTCAGGCTTCCTCACATATTCCTGTCTCCCTTGCTCTGAGGAAAGGCCACGTGAGCACCTGCTTCCGGCACAGTGTCCCCACAGACCGCCACCCATGACAATAAGCACAGGAAGGGTATGAGGCCTCTGCCTTCCACACACCTGACCCCCATTCTGGCTGCACACCAGCTGCCGCAAACTACCCATCGTCCCTCGGAGGCACCCGCATTCCAGGGCCAGGCCTGCCCCCTCCCCGCCTCCTATGGGGCCAAGGCAGCCTTAGAGAGAGTCCCTGGCCCCCTCTGAGGAAGCCCTCCAGGACGCATCCCACAGACATGTGGTCCTGCCCTGCCCCTCTGCATTCAGGAGCCCCCTACCATCTACTGGGGTCTGTTCGCCTCTCCCTTCTCTGCAGACACTCAGCTGCTCATCTCATTCAGCTTTGATCCCCCAAGTCTGGCTTGGCGCCCAGGTACTGCACAAGCCCAGAGGGCAGGAGGAAAGAGGGAGCGAGACTCTGAGGCCGCAGGGGTCTCTCTCAGCCCCCTGCCTGCCGGGCCTCCGGGCGGCCTGGGAACAGCAGGTGCAGCAGTACATGGTGTGGTCTTCAGGAGTGTGCTCGATCACCGGCCCTCCCGGTACGTCCCAGCAGTCAGGGTGGTCACGGTGAGAGAACGTCCTCCTTACCAAAATGGGTCATCACACACAGCACTTACTGGTCTCGGGAAGAAACGCTACTTAAACGTCCACTGTGTCACAGGCTCCAACCTGTGTCATCAAGTCCCTCCATGAAGGACACAGCAGGCAGCCCCCCTGACTTCAGATAGCTCCCTCTGCCTCCGGGGACCTGCAGCTCGGGCCTGTACCACGTGGTCGCTGATAGCAGCATGGTCCCAGGCTGGCCTCCAAGATGCTGAACAAGAAAATCTTCTTTCGAAAGTCCTGGCAAAAGTCCTGCTTTGAGGGAGAGGTTTCTGGCTGAGATGTCTGCACAGGGGGGCCATCCAAGATGGAACACGGGGAGCCTTTCATAAGAAGCTAGGGAATGTGTTCAGCACCTGGCAGGCCACAGCTTAAACTGCCCACGGAGCACTTGAACAGCAAGACGAGGCTCGAGCTCAAGAGAAGCCTGGGCCAGGAGGACATCTGTAGGTCACCGGAACACAGCTGGCGGGTGAATCCATGGAAATGAAGAGGAAACATGCACTAGTCACTAGGGACAGTCCTCCAACATTTCCAGTTCTCCCCCACCCTAGGCACATGGCCTATGAGATCAGCTCTGATCCATGAACTTCATGGGCACAAACGACAGATGTCACCCCGGGCAAAGGCGAAACCATTCGGGGCTCTCCCTCCCTCTTGCAGGGTGACCAGGTATGTTCAGGATGGTGGCTGTTCGTGACACCTGGGTCCCTAAGTGAGCAGAGCAGTGGACGTGCAACACAAACAAGGCAGCAGGCTTGGATGTGCTGGGCCTCTGTGAGCCGCAGCTTCGTTACAAGGGCGGAACCTCACCTGCGCTGACCCCGAATCAGCTACAGTTCCGTGAGAAGCAGAAGGGCAGGGGCAGGGGCAGGAGAAAGTCGGGGGAGAGAGGGGTCGCAGACGGGGAATATTGACTGCGCCAGGGCGAAGCCCCCCATTTCAGGCAAGATGAAGACACGGCAGCCCGCTGACTTGAGACAGCAAGATGCCAGATCACCCCCAGGTTCCCAGTCACCTCATCGGTGCAGAGGTAAAGGAGGGCTGACAAGGCAGCAAAGAGAAACAGACATTACCGTGATACGTCCTTCCACGGAGGAAAGCATTAGATCCAGAGACTGGCCCTGCACTCAGTACCTTTCCACCTGCAAATTTCCAACACGACTCACTCAAAACAGCTTTTAATCATAGCAGCTATTATCAAGTCAGCTGTTTTGCTAACATAAATACAGTAGGAGACACCTGAAATACTGTTGTAAAGAATTTTCGTGAAGATTCTAAGTACATCTTAGGTAACGTCTTAAAATAAATGCCTTGTCTTCTTCAGGAAGGATTTAACAAGAGCAAGAGCACCTTTTTGCAACTCTTCTTGCATAAAAAGACCCCAGAAATAACAAGCTTAGAAAAGTTCGGAAGGCACTTTTATAAACTTGACAAAATGTTTTTCAGAAACACAAGCTGTTGCACGTAATGGCATAAAAAATTTGTTTTCCTGGTTTCTTTTACTATTCAAATGCAGAATTAAATAAATAAATGTTGAACACATATCAAAAGTGTTATTTTAACCTGCCATGGTTCAGTGCGGGGAAGAAGTTTATTTTGTTTTCCTCTAATTGTTTTAACAAGCCAAAAAGTCAAGGTCGATTGTTTGAAATGTCTCTGAGCTGTTCTTCACAGAGCACGTATTAAAACAATTATGCGAGAATTTTCCAAAGTGTAATATTGTGCTTGGCAAACTAAGAAACGTGGCGCAATCGCCTGAATGTCAGCCATGAGGCAGCTGGGCATAGGTCATTTCTGCATATTTTAGAGGCTTCGGCAGTGGCCAGAAAGGGAAAAACACCCAGAGCTTCTACCTTTCCATTTGGTATTTGTTAGAGGCCATTTAGTCACTCAAATCAATGGAACACGAGACCATTTTCTACGCAGCTTATTACTGGAGAAGCTGATAATCTTATTAGAAAGGGCTGTGCCTGTCCGCCATTGCTGAAGACCTCGCCTAATTAATTCCAGAGCAGAAAATAAACACTGGAACCCCACAGAGTGGAGCTTTCATTTCTTTCCAGGTTAGAGGAAAAGCTGAGAGTCACAACACTAAGCTGAGTACAGTCCCCGTCCACGAAGGAGAAAGGAGACTGGTCTGCAGGCCCCTCTGGGCAGGAGTACGGACAGGTGGGGTGGGACCTCGGCCCTACTTCAAATGAGTGTGACGCTGGATAATCGTCACTCTGGACCTCGACCTCCTCAATAAGGAAATTATAAAATTGGGTCAGAAAAGGTTTTTTTTTCTTTTTAAGCCAGTCTTAAAAGGTCACGCACTGTGGGATTCAGTTGATATAACGTTCTTAAAAGGGCAAAATCACAGAACTGGGGAACTGATCAGGGTCATGGGCTGGGGTGGAGTGACTGCAGAGGGGGCACAGGGAGACCTGCGACGATGGGACACGTCTGTCCCCCGACCGCACAAAACCACACCCATCAATGACAGGACTGCGCATGCGCTCTCCCATGGATGGCCTGATTTTCACATTGTGCTTCATTAAGATGTGACCATCGGGGAAACGGGGTGAAGTGTACCTGAGACCTGTCCACACAATCTCTGCAACTTCCTGTGAATCCATAATTATTTGCAAAACACAGAGTTTTTACTTTTTAAAAAGAGTTTCTGAGACTTTGAACTAGACTCATTATTTTCCTTGTGGACCCTATGATTTGAAATACTTTATCTATCAAATTGCATCTATTAAGATAATTCCATTGCCCACATTTATTGATCAAATATACACATATAAACTGTCTTACTTCGTGAAGGGTAAAGATGTTTTACTCTCTGCGACCCCGTGACCTGGACTCTCTGGGCATCAACGACCAGATGACATTCAGTTAAAGATTACTCACAGCAATGGTCCAGAGGGGTGAGACCTGTATAAACACGTGCTATTTCCGGGTAATGACGGACCCCGTAAACACTGGTGTGCGTCGTCAGCTCTCTCTACGAGAACCGACGCGCTGGGCCCTAGAGCAGCATTTACCTGCTTCCCCTTCGTCCTCGCCCAGGTTCAGCACGATGATGCAGACGTGCTTTCTCAGCTGGCGTGCGTTGGAGAACTTCCGACAGCATTTGGCACACTCCAAGCTGCTTGCGGCCAGGCCGCCCCCATCCGCTAGGGCCAGCAAGCTGTCCTCACCCGGGCGGACGAGGTTTTCCGCCAGCTCCTCCTCGGCGCTGGGCTTCTTCGTGGACCCCTTAGGCCTCCCTCTCTTCCTCTTCATGACCGACAGCTCTACACAGGAAACAAGAGGACACGTACAGTCACAGCAGGTGACAGAGCAGGGCAGGGACACAACCCCAAGTGTGGGAAGAAGTTCAGTGTCATGTTTTATTAGGAATGAAGCATGCGAGGCAGTTCCAGGAATTAACAGCTGCAAACGAGATCTTTAGAGCGAACATCTTTGTATCTGTATGCTAATATATAATCAATCTTGCGATGCTGTGACTTAGGGAATCATTTTATCAAACCCTCTGCATAGGCTGCTTCTGAAAAGTGGGGGCAAATCAGGATCCTTGAGGACCACCACCTGCACTGAAGCCCAGTTCTCAGAAACCACTTAAGGACTTCTCTGCAAAGCATTCTCGAAGGCTGCTCAGTTGTCATGCTCTTCATGAGTTACACAACTACTCAGATTATCTCAAGGCATCATAATTATTACAGCCAAACTGTTCCGAGAGAAAAGAGAAAAAATAATTACAACCTAACACCACAGATTCGGGACTGAAGACAACAACAGTATTTTCCAAGTTTCCTAGTGGCCCAGTGATTGAAATGTCAGGATCATAGCTGCTTTAGAGCAAGTTTCAAATCATTTTACAACTTCTATTTCTTAATTAGCATCCGTTTTAACGCCTTCATCTCCGGAATGAAGGTGGGAATTCAGAGGGGTGAGTGGGCTCAGGGAGCCTCGTGCTGCTGTGTGCAGGTGCCACAGTGTGGTCTTGGGTGACGTGACTTGAGGTGTGTGCCAAGACAGGCCAAGATAGGCCAAGACAGGAAGCCACCACCATCCGACTGACATCCCACTGTCAGAGAGCCATCTGGCTGAGGCATGGCATTTCAGCAGTCCTCGGTGAACGCAACATTAGGGTAGGGGAAGAGTCTTAGGTTCCAGCAGCATCTTGGGAGAACGGTCATGTGCAGAATGACGATGTCACCAGGGGAGCCAGCTCTCTCTAAGGCCACCGCTCTGCCCGGGACAGCACTGGCTGCACCACCCCGCACTCCCACTGCAAGGAACCATAACGCAGGTCACTTCTGCTCCTAAGTCACACGGGGAGGCCACAGGGGCAGAGGACGGCAGGATGGTTCTGGAGCAGAGGCCACAGGTAAAGAGCAATGTGACAAAGGAGCATGCTTGGCACAGGGGCCCTAAGCCCTCAGGGAGACTGCACACAAGAATGGGGGAGCTGCTGAAAGGGGAGGCCCTGGTGGGAGCAGACCTTCTGCTAAGCCGCTGTGCCAAGGGTTAGGTCGACCTTGACCGAGAGATCCACACCAGGGTCTCGCTCAGCCAGGGCGGCCGGCGGCAGATACTGCCCTCCCTGCATCCCACTGGGCGTGCTGGAGTCTGGGGAGGGGCCTGGGGAGGAGAGGCAGACGCAGGGACCAGATCGAAGGAGCAAAGGCACGAGACCCTCTGGGCCGTCTGCCCGCATGGATTTCACCAGAACAGAGCTGTGCTGACAGGAGGCCCGGCCGGCGTGTGGGGGCTGGACGGGGAGGGAGAGAAAGGAGCAGACAGAGTAAGGACGAGCGTTTACCTCCAAGTCACTACAACTCTCTCCTGCTGTTGTTCACCACAGCGTGTGCTTGTGCGGCCTACTGAAGCAGCAAGTCAGAGAAGCAGCACGAGAGGCTGTGAAACACCCGCCTCATGTCACGTCAGCTGAGCTGCAGACACAGGCTGCAGAGAGCTTAAGGGAGCCTGTGGCCCGGGCCAGCCCATGACAGGCTGCACCGTGCCCGCGTGGCCACGAGCTACTCTGCCAAAATGCTCTCTGAGGAGAAACTTTACCGGTGAGCGGTCGGCCCCTGCCCTTGGCTGCTGAGGTTGGCCTCTGGGACCCTGGAACGTCCTGACAGGGAGTGACTGTTTGCCTGGGGGCTTTGCCCATCAGCTAGTGACTGGAACCCGTCACATCAGTTCTGGACGCTGGAGGAAGCGGGGAACAAAGGGATCAGTCTGAACGTCCATGAAGGATGGAGGCTGAAGGCCAGCTACAGAGGCAGGATGCCACTGAGCCCCATAAAAACCCTGGACACCAAAGGCTCAGCGAGCTTCTAGGTTGGAGCTGCTCTTGAACCGTGTCGTACCACAAAGTGGCGGAGGTCACGGCGTCTGGGACTCCCGCCTCGGGGCAGACGACCAGCAGCCCCGTCTGCAGCCCTCCCAGTCCCAGCCTGTGCCCACGCCCCTCCCTTTGGCCGGTTCTAATTTGTGCCCTTTGGGTAAAATAAAACTGCAGTCCTAAGCATAGCACTTTCCTGAGTTCTACAGGTCATTCTAGCAAATTATGGAACCTGAAGGACTCTGTGGGACCCCTGAATTTGTATCTAGCTAGTCAGAAGTGAGGGTGGCCTTGGGGACCCCAAGTTGCAGCTCAGGCAGCCATAGTAGTCTTGTGGAGAACTGTGCACTTGGCCTTAGATTGGCAAAGTCACCACAGCAGGACATCCAGGGTTTTCTCCAGAGACGTGCCAGAGCATGGCACAGCAACCGCAGTCCCCACCGTGTGCTCTCAAGATCTGTGCTTAGCACACAGTAGGACCACAGCACAGTCCGCCCAACACGAGAGTGATCTGCGTGTCCCTCGTCACACAGACTGAGGACCCCCTGAAGGCAGTCTGGTCCTGACTGGATTGCGGCCACACCTGACCTGACGTCCTGCTCGGTTGGCACTTGATAAATCCTGGAGGATGAAACGGATGCAGTGTGCAACTTGGCTGTCAGGAAGAAACAGCAAGTCGGCCCTGAAAGCTCTGGAAAGCCTCGAACGCAGCACGCAACGGTGACGAAACTAATCTTACATCTTGCTACATCCATCATTCAAATCCCCAAGACCAATTAGCTAAAAATGAAATATTCATAAATGAACTTGGAATAATGTAAGCACTGAAAACAAGTTGCTGCTGTCAACTACCCATATTTGACAGAAAAGCTGAGAATCTTAGAAATGAGCAAGGACACTTTCGTAATCTCTACATCGAAACAATTTTAACGGCGTTACCTGCAATTCCTCCTCCCGCTCCCTGAATTCCTTCATTCACTCCGTCCGGTAAACGCCCCCTCCGCCGTATGGCAACTGTCACCTAGATCCCTGTGCACGGTCTCTGGATCCAGCCTCTGCTCTAGTCCTTCTTTCCTCTATCCCGCGTCTCACTGCCAGTCTCTCGTTCTAGAACCTTCCATTCCTCTAGATGGCTTAGACCCCTAATTTTCAGGCGTGGCTTTCTAGGCCCTTTACCATGTGGTTCAACACCACACGCACACACGCACGCACACACCCCACACACACACCCCGCACACACACACTACACACACACACAGCGCCTGCCTCTCTCTCCTGCTGCACTGCTCAGTGCAACATTCTAGACCTCCCTAACCACGCACAGATGATCCTGTCTCTCGTTACTTATCTGTACTATTCCCCCTGCCTGTGACTACCTCCTATGCCCCAATCAGACCCCAAACCCAACTCAGATCCTAATGCTGCAGGCCCAGTTCCAATCTCGGTACCTCCACCATGAGGCCATCCCTGCTAGTGAGCAGCTCAGCCTTTTCCCAGCTTCTCGCAGCATGAGGCACGCACGTTCCCCGCCAACACTGTTCCCTGCGTGTTCTCTTCTTCTCCACTTTGGATTACGCATCTCAAGGTTGGAGCTGGCCTTTTAATTCCTGGGTCCCCCAGAGTCTCAAACAGAGCTAGATATGTAGCAGACAATGAATAAGTTTATAAAGAGATAAATAATAAGCACATTGATCAGTTGCTTAATGAGAGTGTTAAAATAAATTTCTAGGCCCAAAATGGAGCTGTTCCGGCCCGCGGCGCCATGTCTGCAGACCAAGCTTAGATAACTTCCGTGTCTGCTTCACCAGGAACACGGCACATCCGGTCAGCCAGCCCCAGACGCCGGGCCGGCCCTGGCTCTGCGCTTCCTCCCTCGTTCTTACTCTCCCCCTGTAAAAGCCTCCTGCCTTCAGGACTTCCCTGATGGAGACTGTCTACTTCACGAAGCACTAAATAAAGTTTGTGTTTATCACCTGAATTACCTTTTATAATCATTTTTTTAACCACAGGAAAAGAAGCAGTTGGAAAATAAGTCATTTCCTGTGTCCTAAGTTTCCAAGCGGAGGAAAGGGGTGGAGCTAAGTGCATCTCGTCTCTGTCCCAAGTCCACAGTTTGGTGACAACCTCCCCAGGGTCAGAGAATCATCCTTCAGATCCAGGGTAAGCAAGAGACACAATCGGCAGCCAAAGATTTTTTAATTCAATCAAAAGACACTGTGAGCATTATGGAAAAAACAGCCCAACATTTTCAAAAATCTAATAACATTAAGCCCTTTATTTGTATATCACTCAAGTTGCGAGGCGCTTTCCCAGTCATCATCTCATTTTATCTCCATAAAAACTTTAAGGGACGGATGTAGCGAATGTCGTTTTCACAACAGGAAAAG